CTCAGAGCAAATTAGCACCATAACCACTACAGCATGATGCTTGAAAAATTCCCTTAAGCTAAAAATGTATATAACTGTCAGTATGATGACACTTTATATCTATAAACCAGTGTATTATATGTGATCTCTCACACTTTGATGAACAACTATTATTCTTACAAATAGTTTGTAACAATTTAGGTTTCAGCCTAATACTAAATAAAGTTTGGTCTGGTTGGTGAAGGAATACATTAATTGTGTTTGTTCTCAGCAAAGAGGTATTGCCAGATAATCAGTAAAAAGATGGGTACATTCTGACCCACCTATGTTTAACTCATAGGAGTCAACGATGAACATTTTTAATCATACTTTTTTGTTTCTTTAGGTTAATCCTATGTTTGAGAGTCACCTGAAGCCTTACTTTCAAAGTGCCAAAGCAAAGCTGTAAAAAACAAGCAGTTTATGAAGCAGTTAATTCTGCAAATGAACATATTGTACATGGTATTGTAATGTATCTTGCAGGATGTTTATGTACATTAAAGAAATATAATTTCGATTTCATTTTAGCCAACTAAATCACATGTCAATCTTACATTATTCTTTGTACGTGAAACACAATCCTTTATTTACAAGAAACGACTTCAAAAGAAAAGTAACATTTGGAGCCTCCATTCACAGGGATTTAAATACATTTGGAAAAAAATAAAATAAAAATAAGCAAATAAAAGTGGGTCTATTAAATGAAAAAAAAAAAATACAAAGAAAGTAAAGCAATATATTTGCATATTTAAAATTACACAAAACCAAACTCTTTAGTAACAAACATTGAATTCTGCATTTATTAAATTTAAAATAAAACTTCAATAAGACTGGATTTTGAATACTGTAGTTTTTTAGTTTATTGAATTCTATTGTTTGACTTGATAAAGGCCTGGTAGGGTCAAAACGTTGCTGCTTTTACAACAATAAAGCTGCTATTTGTGTTATCCCGGAGTGCCTGAACTGTTATTTATTCTGCATATTTTCGAATTAGGCGTGACCAGCCCTAGCTTTAGAGCATCTGGGTTATTTGGTAAGTGCGTTATCCAGTATGGCTCTACTATTAATATACAAGGGGCATAAAGAAATGAAAAATCAAAGGAACAAAAAAACAGAGCCGCTTTAAGAAGAGATGCTGGGCTGAGTATATACAGTGGGTTTTCCTCAATGCAACTACATAGGCCAAGCAATGGTTCACAGTTTTTTCCTATGTAATTTACAATTAAGCATAACTATAATAATGTGTTTATACATTTCTTGCATCACAATTATCTTATAATCCATGATATAGTTATAAAACAAAGATACAGGGCTTACCTAAAAAAAACTTTTTTGTACTATATAGTAGTGAAGAGTAACCTAGGCACAGAAATTTCATCATAAGCTAGGGCTCTAATCCAAAGTTCTCCAAAGTAAGATTCAGCTGTAGAACTGCACTAATCATGTTGCTTTGTTGGTCTAAGCCAGCGTTTCCCAATTGGTGTTTCGAGAACAACATTGGGGTTCCGCCACAATTTGCCCATCGGGTGGCCCAAGCACTTAGGGCCATCCGATGGGTATCACTAAACAAAGGCCCGGTCAGGCGTTGCGGCCAGGCCCCTGCAGTATCGGATGCTGGGGGAAGTGACAGCCAGCTGCAACACACCAGAGATCAGCCAGCAGCCTCAGCTAGCAGGCAGCAACCTTAGCCATCACCCACCAGCCCAAGTTAGCAGCCTCAGCCATCAGCCCCAGCTAGCAGCCTCAGCCAGCAGCCTCAGCCAGCAGCACGCCAGCAGCACACCAACAGCACCCAGCCTCAGCCAGCAGCACACATGCCAGCAGCACTCCAACAGCCACCAGCTAGCAGCACAAAAGAAAGTCAGCCTCCTGAAAAGAGAAAATAACCTAACAGGAAGGTGGCTGTAAATACAAACATTATGACCTGTGTGCATGTGTCACTGTGTGTATCTGAGTGTGTGTACCTGTGTGTCAGTGTGTGTATCTGTGTGTATATGTAAGTTCCAGTATGTGAATCTGAGTGGGTATGTGCCAGTGTTTGTAAGTGCCAGTATGTGTGTATGTTTTAGTGTGTCAGTGTGTATCTGTGCTTGCGTGTTTGTGTATCTGTGTGCCAGTGTGTATATCTGTGTGTATCTGGCAGTGTGTGTATTTGAGTATGTGTGTATGTGTCAGTCTATATCTGTGTGTCAATGTATCTGTCAGTGTGTGTATCGAAGTGTGTATATGTGTATCAGTGTGTGTATGTGCCAGCGTGTTTACTTGAGTGTTTGTGTGTATGTGCCAGTTTGTGTATCTGTGTGTCAGATACATATACACACACACAGATACACCTTGACACACACCGGCACATACAAACACAGATACACACACTTTGACACACTGATACATACATATACACACACACACACACACAGATACACACTGTGTGTCAAGGTGTGTGTACCTGTTTGTCAGATACATATATATACACACACACACACGCAGATACACAGATAAACACTGGCACATACAAACACAAAAACACACACCAGCACATAAAAAAGGGCTATGCAACGGCACAAAAGGGATTTTTCTTTTGGGGGGGAGGTCCACGACGTTGATACACTATGTCAAAGGTTTCCACAGAAAAAATTAATTGGGAACCCCTGGTCTAAGCTGTCAAAGCACCATGAGAGTTGTATTGCTACAGCAGTGAATAAACAATTGGGTCATCCTTTCTCTAAGCCAAGATGTATGGGCAATATAGTTTATAAACACTGCTACATAAGCACCACAGAGTAAGAAAAATAATTTACAGAAAAAAAAAAAAAAAGAGTATTCTGTCACTGAGTGATAAAATATTACTGTAGTGTTTCTCAACCTTTTATGTGCAGCTTAAAATAATTCCTAAGTACTCCTGCCTCGAGAAAGTAATTTATATTGCTTTAAATTCCAAATGAAACGTGTAGACACTGACACTATTTAAGTTACTCCCATATTGGAAAACAAGCCTGAATAATGTCAGTAAATAATATTTTTACAATAAATATGACATAATGGGAAAATTGTGTATGTAAGTGTCACGATTCCGGAACCTAACACGCTAACAGGTCACAGACAGGAAGGGTGCTATACCGGTCCTTAGAGTGGCCGGACTAAGCACACTAAGAATAGTCAGGAGACAAGCCAAGTAAAGGGAGCCAGAAAACGGGAGAACGAGAAACAAGCCGAGGTCAAAGGAGTGGAGAAGACAGGATAATCGGAATAACGAGCCAAATAATCAGTAACCAGAGAGCAAGACGAGAACACTACGCTACAGGTATCACAAGACTACAACAGGGCACTGAGGGACAGGAAGGGTAAGTATAAATACCCTAGGTTTAATTCTGATTGGATAACTTCCAATCAGAATTAACAATCACACGTGGGGAATATCTATACCTCCCACTGTGATTGAGGTACTGTTTCTTTAACGCCGGGTCACTCACGTGACCCAGGCGTTTGCATAATTTAGTGTCCTCCCAGCATGCAGCGTTATACATGCTGCCGCTGGGGGGCGTGGAGGACGCGAGCAGCGAGCGGCAGAGAGGAGACGCTGCTCGCCGACAGGTGAGACGAGGGGAGACCGCGGGCGGCGACGGACTGAGGGTGAGTGCTGGATCCTTGACAGTAAGGAGGAGTATAAACTATTAATCTGAAGTATAAAAGACAAAATTAAACCAATACACACAACAGTAACACACAGAGGACATTGACACAAACACATCTACACACAGAGGACACTGGCACACACAGGCACACACACACACAGAGGAAATGGACACCGATACACAAACATTTACATACAGAGGAAATGGACACAGATACACCAACACATTTACATACCAAGGAAATGGACACGGGCACACACATTTACACACAAACATATAGCTCTGAGATAAAATATAGAAGACTAAATCAGAAAACAGAACCTTATTTTTATGTATTGGGCACTTGTTATTCTTGCGCAGTTATTGGATACCTTGTACAAGAACTACATTGCATCACCACTGCTCAAGTTACCCTATTATCCCTCCAACGGGGTCAAAATTTAACAACAGGATATGTCACCAAGCACTAGTGTGATGCTGTGGATACCATCTGCAGTAAACCAGCCCTCCTACATATGTTACAATTTGGGATTTTGGAGGGAAGTATAAGCTAGTGTAAATAATTGCAATTTACTCAATTTGTATATAGATTTTCCAAATGTTTGTTGATTGCCTACATTATTTGGTTTGGTTATTACACCCAGAACTCAGATTGTCTCTGAAAACAAATACTGCCTAGCTAATAAGCTGAGCTCCCACCACATCTAAAACCAGCCAAAGTCAGTGTGAGGTTGGCCTCGCCCGTAAACTCGTCCTTCTCAGTTTCCCAGGATCCAATGCGTGGATTGCCTCAGAAGATGGTGTAATTGTGCCAGATACCGCCAGAGAGAGTTTGGAATGGGTTAATGCATGCACCTGTCATCCCAGTGGTGAGGAGGATATCCAATTTGGCGAGTTCGGCTGTCGATGAAGACTGCCTAACTTGTCTAATTAGGCAATGGGTGTAATGCCAGAGCCAGTCTGGGATTATTTTGAGCTGGAGCTCCATGTGCTTCTGGCGTACCCCCTACTTTTGGTGTGCGTACCACAGATTGTAAAACAAGGGATTGAATATATATTGAATCTAACCTAGCAAAATGATCATTATATTTTGATTGAACTCTAAGGAAAATTTGTCTTTTAGTTTGAACCCCGATATACAACACACTAATATTAATGTTAAAAGGAAAGACCAGCTAAGAACTGCATATTTGTATTTGTTTTATTAGAATATTTCAAGCAGGGATCAAATATGTTAAATAATTAACCAGGATTAAAAAATAACAATCTTGACACTGAGCTTGCATATTTAACTCTGATCTAAACAAACAAAATTAAAAATCACCCCCCAAAAAAACCAAAAAACATTTTCACTGAAATTTGGGGCCCAGATTTTTACGCATAGAACTATATTTTTTTTTAGAACAGTTATTTTCTGGGAAACAGACTCGACACATCAGTAATCACAACCTGCACTCTGATAGGAAATATCAAAATGCTTCATTGTTGTTCATATAGTTCAGGAAATAAAGTCCATGATAAAGCATAATAAAGGGAGACTTTATAGAGCTGTCTATATTTGTTGTGGGGGGGATACTGTGCTTCTAGCAATGCCTAGACAGAACAGGAAAACTGTTACTGGCATTTAATACTGTTTGTGCTATTTAGTGTTATTTGTGAAACATTTGACAGACTCTCTAGGAGAAATAAAGTAATATTTAAAAAAAAAAGTAAAATTTTATAATGTATATAGATTTTTTAAAATGGGGAAAAAATAAAAATGCTTACATTAAGGGTTTTTTTTTTTCACTAAACCACAAACATTGCAAACTAATAATGAACCTTTACATGACTTTTGTAAATTTGTCCTAAAAGAAGACCAGATTATAAGAACAAAAGTGTCTTTTTTTTTTTTTTTTAATAAAGCACAAGACAGAAATTACACTTTTATGATTTAAGAGTAATCTCAAGCTGATTTATAAGTGAAACGATTTTGCAGACAATTAAATACCCAGACATTCTGAGTGTGTTACACGTTCTTTGCAATATAATACCAGATATTGTTACAAATGTACTCCATTGGCATAGTAAATAACAATGATGAGCTGTTTAATAGGGTGAAAATGTCCTAGGTAATCTGAAAGCTACAGCACTCTGAAATCACCAAAAATGCGCCGGGAGTCAAGAGTTTGATCAAATGCTCTGATCTATTCTGGTTTGATTTTCATGTATAAATGGAAATTGCACAGAGAAGCATTTAAATACCATATTTTAGATAAGGTTTGCATTGTTTTTTTGTATTTTTTTTGTAACATTAAAGCAGGAAGGGATTATTATTAAACAGTTAACTTGTTTTATAGGCAAAAACATGCATGCCATATGCAGAAACATCTATGAAGCAGTGCCAGGTTTTCTAAATGTCCAGCTACAATGGCTGTTAATAAATAGGTGAGAACAAAAAAAAAGTGTTTCTTCATAACACTGCCTCGTCGGTATTGCGTACATGTGTTTCAGTCAGTCGTCGGTTTTTCGACCCAATCGACAAAATGTCCAGTTATGTTCTACAGTGTTCTCGTTTGCTCGTTCGCTCATGTGATGGACCCTAGTATTGCGAATTGTAAAGCCTTGCTTAGAGATGTACTCCATTAGATGGACTCTGAGAGAGACCTCCTGGTGGTAATCACATGGCCCAAATGTGAAAGAGACTTGACAATCTCTTGTGTCCATCATGTGTTTGTTCCACTTGGTAAAGTTATTGGCAATACCTTCCAGTAAGGCGTGCACCTTGGTTGTAATGGTAAGTTGAGTTATTATGACAGCAACGGGGTTAGAATATTTTGAGAGCTTTCTGGTGCTTGACAATTCCACTACTTCTTCATATGTGTCTGTAGGATAGAGGGGTTTGGGGTCATTGAGACATTGTATTAGGGGCTCAATCTGATAGAAATCTGCTTCTTTCCGAAGCAAGTCACATTCCTTAAAGTCCACTGGTAATGTCAGTTCCGATGATCGTAGGAAATTTAACACGTACCGGAACAGTGCTCCATCACGATCAATGAAGTAGTTGCCTTGTGAGTCCCTGGCAGTGGGGAAATCTCCCCTAAACATAGCTCCCAACATTGAATCTGGATAGCGAGTCAATGTGGACACAGATGTGGTATAGACATGACCTCCAACATTTAGTGTGACTGGATCAGTCATCTAAAACCCAAGAACAGTATAAAATATTAAACTTCACAAAAAAAATGCTAAAAGGTTCAGCAGAACAGCAAAACTAGGATAAGAAAAAAATAAATAAAATAAAGACCAGTTTATCAAATATTCCAAAAATCTGTGTAATATTATAAGCTTGTGTGTACTTCTAATAATTAAAGGGGCACTCTACATACCATAGTTTCCTTAGCTCAAAATAGTGCTTTTAGACGAAAGAGTCTCTGGGTGCAACTTTTCCTCTCTTCTTTTTCAACCCGTTTCAGAGTAATTTAAATAACCTCTCCTTGCTGACATTAGTGAATTACACCTCAGCATTACTATTTTATTACTGGTGGTCAGGTTTAACAATGCAGCCTAGAGTATTTGGATGCCGGGGAGAGCACTGTTTGTTTGTGTGTTTGTTAGTTAAAGTGGATGTGTCACCTCCTGTGTTTTTTGCATAGTTCACAAAGACCCCTGAGGATGACATAGTACTTGGTGTGCAGTGGCACAGTGGTGAAGTAGAAGGTACGTTTTACTTACCTGAAGCTGTCCTTTCAGTGCTGTTTTCTTGCACATGCGCAAGTGTACAAAACTAAGGTCTATGGAGGATCCTGCAAGATCACTGAGTCCACCGTAGACAAGGCCTTTTTCCTCACAACCATAACTAGTGAAAGCTGGGGGAATTGCCAAAACTTAATGGCTTAACTTCTGCCTTTTGTCAAGTGCAGGAAAAATGCATAAGAAAAAGTAGCCCCTTTTAGAATGTCTACTGACTGCGTTGGAATATCAGTGAAATTTCAACACAATCAGTCTGAAAATGTCATAAAGATTTACATGGTTATTCAGTTAACACAGGATAAGATCGGATTGTGACTGGCTCAGGCATTTTTCAATCACAGCGGCCCCCTGAGAAGGGGGTTGAACCAGAGAGGGTGTATTTTGTCATCACTAATGACAAGCACGCTCCCTCTCAAAGTGAGCATGTTGGTTCAATGCGCAGAGCTCTGCTGAAGAGCTCTAGCATGAGAAAAGGGCCCTATTTGTTCTGCACAGCGCAAGCAAATTAAATAACATGCTTGCGCTGTGTTTACGTTTAACTTGTCTCTGGTGTCTCCATAAGTGGGATACCAGAGGACAAAAGGGCCAGGAAAGCGTATAGTGCATGGGTTTGGAGCCTGCGTGTGTGTGTAGAGTGAGCTGATTGTGTTGTGGTATTTTGTAAATAGGTCAATTTATGTGTTTGTGGTGTAATATGTGTGGCTAGGGCCTGTAGAGAGTGTGTGTATAGGAGGGCGTAGTGTGTATTGGGGATGTATCGAGTGTGTGCATACGGGTTGTAGTGTGTGTGTGTGTGTGTATAAGGGATGTAGTGTGTGTAGGGGTTGTAAAGAGTGTCTGTTTAGAGAATGTAGTATGTGTTTGCTTACAAGGAATGTAGTGTGTGTGTAGGGGATTCAGAGTTTGTATGTCAGGAATGTAGTTTGTGTAGGTGGTGCAGTGTGTGTGTGTAGGGGATCTAGGTTGTCAAGGACCCAGAGTGTGTATAGGAGATCGTGTGTGTGTGTGCGTGTATCTGGAATGTAATGTGTGTAGTGGTGCAGTGTGTGTTTGTCAGGGGTGCTGTAGTATATATATATATATATATATATATATATATATATAATTGGAAGTATTGTATGTGTGAGGGGCACAGTGTGTTGGGTGTGATGTGTGTATGTGTGAAGAGTGCAGCATGTGTGTGTGTGAGGGGTGCTGTGTGTGTGATGGTGCTGTGTGTGAATATGTTTGGAGGGATTGTGTGTGTGTGGGGGGGGGGGACACAGATTAATTTAAATATATTAAGTATAAACAACTTTATATCCCCCCCTCCCTTCTTACATTTTGACTGGGAGGGGGGGCCGTGCTGCCATCCCTGGTGGTCCTAGTGGTGAATTAACTCTAGTCTGCAGGGCTAGAGTTCACCCTTGCAAGATTTGAGCATTGCCATGGTCACCGAAGCAACGCTCTGACCTCACGAGGAAGCTGCTGGCTAGAGCTCCCCCGGATCCTCCTCTCCCTCCCCCAGCTGGCAGCCGCATGTCAGCGCCTATGAGCCGGTGAGGGAGATCTATGATTTCCCAACCGGCTTAGGAAGGCACAAAGCAGGGCTGCGCTCGGAGAGCGCTGGCTCTGCATGGGCCAGCAGGGGAGATCCTGTGATCCTCTGAAACTGTTATGTTGACATGTGAAGGGTTAAAACCTGAGGGACCTGGCACCCAGACCACTTCACTGAGCTGAAGTGATCTGGGTGACTATAGTGGTTCTTTAACTATTTAGTGCATGGATTTTAAAAATATCCAAACATATATGAATCATTAGGATTTCCAGCAACATTTGATCCAGCTTGAAGCCGGACCAAATTCAGGCCTATTTGGGGCCTGAATTACAAAATCCAACTATTGTTAAATAGGATTTTGCAGACTGAATGGGCCCATATGCAGACATATAGTTTTGCTTTCAGAAACATTCATAAGACATTTTTTTTTGGGGGAGGGAAGGGGGTTGCTTTAACACCTTAAGGAGACATGACATGTGTGACATTTCATGATTCCCTTTTATTCCAGAAGTTGGTCCTTAAAGGACCACTATAGTGCCAGGAAAACACCCTCAGTGTCCCCCTCCCGCCCGGCTCTGGAAAGGGGTTAAAACTTACCTTTTTCCAGCGCTGGGCGGGGAGCTCTCCTCCTCCGATCCTCCTCTTCTCCTCCCATGCGGCTGAATGCGCACGCGCGGCAAGAGCTGCGCGCGCATTCAGCCAGTCACATAGGAAAGCATTCATAATGCTTTCCTATGGACGCTGGCGTGCTCTCACTGTGAAAATCACAGTGAGAAGCACGCAAACGCCTCTAGTGGCTGTCAATGAGACAGCCACTAGAGGAAATAGGGGAAGGCTTAACCCATTCACAAACATAGCAGTTTTTTCTGAAACTGCTATGTTTATGAAAAAATGGGTTAACCCTAGCTGGACCTGGCACCCAGACCACTTCATTAAGCTGAAGTGGTCTGGGTGCCTAGAGTGGTCCTTTAAGGGGTTAAACTGCTCACAAATGATTTGACAAAAAAAGTGGGGTGGCAACCATAGACCCTTTGTACTACAGCTCCTACCCGGTAGTGGTTTTGGTTTATAGAGTGCCCCTTTCAAGTATATTTGTCTCAATACATTTACAATTTTATTTAATGAACACATTTTTGGGTATTGTTTATATCATTATAGTAATGTTATAATTATTATTTAGTAAGTATTCTTAGAGGAACTGGTCTGAGTTTCAAATCCTGCAATATCTGCAGCTCACCTCTCTTATACTCACTACCAGTATCAATCAAATGGAATGATCTAGTGGGGTATAATCATGCAAGTCTGTTCTATATTGACCCTCCTATTGGGCAGAGTATCTGAAAAGTTGCAGATTCCCTTGGAGAGCTAACAGCATTAAATCACCACATTTATGGACTTGGTTTCTTGGAACTATAAGTGATTCAAATCAGGTTTAAGTTTAAAACGCAACCTGTAAACAAACCGCAATGACTGGAGGAGACCAATGAAATACAGAAAAGCTTTATTTTAAAATAACAAATCATTATGATTAACAAGGCAATAATTGCACTTACCATGTATCCCCAGTCTCCATTATCCATTTGCTCACACAATTTATTTTCAGTTGTAAACAGGTATTTAAATGCAGACGAATGCATGCACTATGTGTTTCTTCAAGTGTCTGAAAAGGAAAGGTTAGGAACATAAACATATATTACAGAAATACAAAAATAAGTCGCTAGATCATTTTAAACTAAATCAGCAGATATATATATATATATATATATATATATATATATATATATGTGGCATGGCTCCTCAGAAGAATTAGAGGAGCAGATTACTAAAATCAATCTGTCACCACTTCCAGTTAACCCTTTAACCCCTTAAGGACCAAACTTCTGGAATAAAAGGGAATCATGACATGTCAGACATGTCATGTGTCCTTAAGGGGTTAAGGACACATGACATGTGTGACATGTCATGATTCCCTTTTATTCCAGAAGTTTGGTCCTTAAGGGGTTAAACTGACACTCACATACGATGTCACCAAGATACAATTCTTAGATATTACGTTATATAAGGATGGAGGAAAATTAGGGTACACCCTACATCGTAGAAAAACTGATAGGAATACATTACTATCTGCAAACAGTTATCATCCAAAAAAATTAAAAGAATCGCTACCAATATCACAATACATGCGAGTGTTACGGTATAATAGTGACTCCAATAATAGTGAAGTACAAGTTCGTGAAATGACAGAAAGATTCCGAGTTAGAGGATATACCCGAGAGGTACTTGAAGTGGCACTGGCAAAAGCTAAGGAAAAGTGGACCCAGGAGAAACAAGAGTCGGTAGATGCTACATGTGATGGGGCTCGGATGTATCTACCCTTAACATTCCATACTGGAACAACTCAAATATGCAAATCAATTTACAAACACTGGGATATTTTAAACTCAGGATAAAAATTTACCACCTATATTTCAAAGAAGACCGATCATCAGTTATAAAAGAAATAAGAATCTGAGAGACATTTTGGTTCATAGTGACCCTGTACAGTGTTATAAGAAACCTATAACACAAAAAAAGAAAGGATGTTACAAATGTAGTGGCTGTGTCACATGTAGCCACATGAACCCTGTAAATTCCTTCGTCCATCCCCATAGTGGCAAAAGAATCCCGATCAAACAATATATTACCTGTACAACGGACCACGTCATATATTTAATTACCTGCCCCTGCGGACTGTCCTATGTAGGAAAGACCGATTTAACTCTACGGGATCGTATGAGAGGGCACAGGTCAGACATCACAACGGCTTTCAGGGACCAGAAGACCGATAAACCGGTTGCTAAGCACTTCCTAGCATTATCACATAGACTATCTACTCTCCGGTTCATTGCGATAGACCATATTCCCCCTTTATCTTGTGGGGGTGATAGGTCGAGATTACTGCTTCAAAGGGAAGCCTACTGGATCCACCTTTTTAAAGGACCACTATAGGCACCCAGACCACTTCAGCTTAATGAAGTGGTCTGGGTGCCTGGTCCAGCTAGGGTTAACCCTTTTTTTGTTATAAACATAGCAGTTTCAGAGAAACTGCTATGTTTATAATAGGGTTAATCCAGCCTCTAGTGGCTGTCTCATTGAAAGCAGCTAGAAATCACAGTGAGAAGATGCCAGCGTCCATAGGAAAGCATTGTAAATGCTTTCCTATGAACTGGCTGAATGCGCGAGCGGCTCCTGCCGCGCATGCGCATTCAGCAGATGACGTCGCTATGGAGGAGGAGAGAAGGGGGAGAGCTCCCCGCCCGGCACTGGAGAAAGGTAAGATTTTAACCCTTTCCTCTCCCCAGAGGGTGGGGGCACCCTCAGGGCACTATAGTGCCAGGAAAACGAGTATGCTTTCCTGGCACTATAGTGGTCCTTTAATACAGTGGTACCCAGAGGTTTGAATGAGCAAATCGTATACTCTATGTTCTTATAGTATAGTTTGTATCTTTATGAATGGTAATACGACATTGTAAACTTATCTCTAGTATACTCTTGTTCCTGTATATACCCTCTTTTTCCCATTTAACATTATTTTTGGTGTAATTTTTTGTTAAGATCTATCCTGAGGAATAAACCATGTGGAATTAATCCACACATGGTACATCATTTAGCTATTCAATATGCTGTATCTTATAATTACTATAGTATAGTAGACTTCTCAATAGTTTTTTTATTTTATGCCCAGCAATATGTTGTTTTATACAAAAAAAAAAAAAAAAAGAGTAATTATTATTGCTTATTATAGTGTAATTATTACTATATTTGGATTTGCTATTTATCCTGGTTGGATTGAATCCTGAACTCTGTATTAGCATTAGTATGTCACTTTTTTCACTTTGTCACACATTTTTAACACTTCACGTTTTCCACTGTTATGTTTGCACCTGCAGAGCTCTTATATTCTTCCTTGGATTCTTGCATGTATTACATATGTAGTCTGGGCTTTACAAACTACAAATTATGTAGGTATTCTGTTTCCTATCCTCCATTGGTTTTAGCAATATTCCGGTTATTATGCCGTCGGCACTCATTCACAACACCCTACTTTTTTGCATACAGAGCACTGTATTCATTGTATATACTCATTGCTTAGCAGCGCGTGGGGTCACGTGTCCCTCTTGTGCACTTCCGGGTTCGGACGGCTGTGGGATTGCCTCTCACTTCACATTGGTAAGTTGATATTAGATATTTTGTATATATTTGCACTTGTCACATGTATATTTTGATCTTGAAAAAGACCCTTGTATGGGTCGAAACGTCCACATTTGGTTTATATAATTACGCTAAAGGAGCACCAAGGCAAGATTTATTGTTTGAATATTTAAAGAGGGTGACTGCCAAGATTTATTTTTGTGTGTGTGTATATATATATATATATATATATATATATAGATATGTCATTCATAATGCCAGGTCACTATGTGGCATATCACTGACCATCCTGTACTAAAATTTCCCCCTCCTTGTCAGGATACGTCAGTAGATGCACTTTAAGGTACATTCCGGTCACTATTACAACTTTTTGAATTTGAGGAATTTTGTTCTCATTTATTTCTTATTTCAGAACCAGCAATTGAGATGGGAGAATATGTAGCTCATTTTACAAAATACATATATTTGAAAAGATCATGGATGCCAGTATCATGCCTGGGTATCCAGTGAATACTAGTGATGTCCCGAACGGTTCGCCGCGGACTCATCATTGAGTAAACTTTGACCCTGTACCTCACAGTCAGCAGACACATTCCAGCCAATCAGCAGCAGACCCTCCCTCCTCCTGGACAGCATCCATTTTACATTCATTGTGAAGCTGCATTCTTAGTGAGCTGTCCAGGAGGTGGGAGGGTCTGGGAGGGAGGGTCTGCTGCTGATTGGCTGGAATGTGTCTGCTGACTGTGAGGTACAGGGTCAAGGTTTACTCAATGATGAGTCCGTGGCGAACTGTTCATGGCGAACCGTTCGCGAACAGTTCGGCGAACCGTTCGGGACATCACTACTGAATACCTTTTGGGCACGCTCTTCTTCCATAACTATTAAATGGTTTTGGGGAATGTTCAAATGATCATTTGACCAAATTATCAAAATTAAAGAAACCTGTGTTTATATAGAAAGGTACATAACTTCACTGTGTCTTCCTTTGAGATCTTTGCACAAACACATAGCTAATTAAAAGTTATTGTCATAATTTTCATATCCTCTTTATTTCTTTTAAATTATTTACTTCATGTGATGTCATGTTTCAATGTCAACAGAAAGCATGACATATGATGTAAATCACTGTATTCCTATGACACCATGGGTGTAGGATCATTAGCGTGCATGGACTCAGGATTCGAAGGATCACATGAATGCATTGAGATGTGTCTACTTCTGCACCTGGAAGTATAGAGGAAGTAAGTGTGTTTTATACTCACCTTCACGGCACTTCTCAAAAGAGCATAGGCATGAAAATAATAGTGAGTGAAAACTGAACAGACCCCAATTTAAAAATCACATTAAGATCACACAAGGAATTGGGTATGCATGATCGAAGTAGTGCCTGATACATATGTCAATGCTAGACTTCAAAAGACAAAAGATGCCCATGATTAAAGGTCAAACATCTGGTTAAAACTAGCACTCGATACTTTCTGATCAAATATTTAATTTCATCTTACATGGTCCACAGGTAGTCTAGCATCCATAATGTGTTCAACAATGAAAACTACATAATGAGCTCTAGTTCTATAAAAAAAAATTTGCTTGTTATAAATGTTATTGTGTTATTTAACAATGTTTAAATGATTCTCTTGCTGCCAGATATAGATCGATTTTGCATTGCCTAAAATAACATCTAGATAATATTTACATCCTGTTGGCTTTCAAAAAAAAAAAACTATCTGGCTTTTATGTTCAACTTCTTAAAGATAGTTAAATATGACCATTGATCTAGATTACAGAATATAATAATTAGAAAAATGAATAAAATGCGTAGGTTGATTTTGTAGTTTCCCACAGCTGTGAAAACATGGTTACTCAATGTTTGTTTATTTGCAAATCCAAATGTTTAAAAATTTTATTTTCTTAAACTATATGTGTTAAATCAATATGTAACCATATCCCCCAATTGTCCCTATTTAGGGCCCAAATCCCCCTGTCCCACTTTTCTATCCTAACATCCATCTTTTCAGTGAGCTCCATATTGTTGGTGTGTCTGAACTCCACAGCAATCATACTCACAGTATGTGTGTTTAGAATTCTGATTAAATAAGCTGTATGGTTATTGTTCTAAATTAAATTTTAGTTGCATAAATTGTGATTAATAGGTTACTTAATATTTCTCAGAACAATCCAGCCTGCTGGCCTTAACCCCACTCACACCACTATAATAGAAGTGTCCCTGTTTCTTTATTTGAAATGTTGGGAGGTGTGTGTAAATGTAGAACAGAGGCATTAAGATTAGTAAAGTTGTAAATAATTAATGAGTGCAGAGAGATAATATTATTGAGCAGACAGACTTGGATAGTCGCATTCATTGCTAAAAGAATAAAGGACAACAATAACTGTATTTAATGACAGATGTGTAGTCAAAGGGTGTAAAGTAAACCACATCAGTAGTAGTATGGATATAGAACCAGGACATGCCTACCTCACAGGCCACCACGATCACCCAAGTGTAAGATATCAATAAAAGATATAAATACAGAAATGTCGGGCGAATGGTCACTTAATCCCCTCTCTTCCCCAGTGTAGAGGCTGAACTTTAAGTTATTGCATGGACTAATCCCAGCCCAGTGTTTGATGCCTACCAAGAAATTCCAAATCTTAGAATATCTAAAGCTTGTACAAGCTAATTTCTTATGGTTAAAAAATGACTTCCACCCTCAACCATGCCCCATACACAGTGACTCATATGGTCATTTCAAATCGCTACTACCAGCCCATAGTCATTGACTACCACCCTTACACCAGCTCATAGCCAGTGACCCCCACCCTCCTACCAGCCCATAGCCAGTGACTCCCACCCTCCTACCAGCCATAGCCAGTGACTCCCACCAGCCCATAGCCAGTGACTCCCACCAGCCCATAGCCAGTGACTCCCACCA